AGAGAGAGAGAGAGGGGGGGGGAGAAGAAGAGGGAGCGCGCCGAAGTAATGGAACCCGGAAGAAAAAGAAGCCGGCTGCATTCCAACAACGCACGCCCCGCGATCTGCTTCGTCCAGAAAATCTCGTCGCCCGCGATCAAAACACCGGACAAAAACAAGAACATACTGTCTTTCTTCGCTTTATCTAATTAAACATTGTTCAGAAAATGAACATACATAAGAAACGTACAGGTGAGGTACCCCTGATGGAACTTGTTATCGAGAAATAATGCTATAGTTGGGCCCCGGAATGAACTCCCCGACAGCCCATGTCCAATATTCGTCCTATAAACCGCCTAGACGCGTTTGTAGTGGCGACGTCGACACCGTATCAACTCGTCCAAAACCAAAAAGGCACCAAGTCGTTCTAGATCCACACTGTTAAATCCCTGCGAAGTATTTTGCTCCTTTGCAACTACAAAGGATTTACTTCGCAATTACAAAGTGATGCTTTGCAATTACGAAGTGACACTTTGCAATTGCAAAGCGATGCTTTGCAGCGTTTTCATTGCTTCGCAATTGCAAAGCATCACTTTGTCATTGCAAAGTAAATGCTTCGTAGTTACAAAGGAGCAAAATACTTCGCAGCTCTGCAAAGCGAATGCTTTGTAGGAATTTAACAGTGCAAACGCCCACGAAGTAGTTAACACCCAGCACGTCTCCATCCCAGACCAATGAGCCAACAGGGATCAAACGTCTCCATATCCGTCACAGCGCACATAAAACTCCATATTAGATGCTCCTGTACCACGACCACGTCGGCAACTCCCACCAGGACTTGTCCAGTGCGCTCTACTTATACTTTTACCGTGTTGTTCCCATGGCATAGGTCCTGTTTTCCTCGGCCAAAAAATCTGACACACTTTAGAGACCCTTAAGGTCTCGATCCCACCTGATGTCTGCGAGTCTCCCTCCCCTCCTCTGCACCCGCCGCGCGCGCGCCCACCCCTTCCTCCTCTAACTGCTGCCCCGCTCGCCGCCGCTACTGAGCGACATCATTTCCGCTCCCCCAACTCCCCTTACCACCTTTTCACTCCCGTCCATTCTTCCCCCTTTTCCCCAGGCCTGAGGTCTCTAAGGCGACGCAATTCTCCCCACCCTCCCCTTTCTCCTTCCCCAACGGGCATCCCCCGCCGGCCATCCAACCCCCTTCCCCTCCGATCCGTGGGAGGGTGGGACGGGGCGACGCCACGACCACCATCAAGGTCCATTCACAAATGACGTCTACCACATACGCTCGCGCGCTCTCTCTCTCTCTCCCTCGGTCTCGGTCTCCCTCCCTCCCTCCCTCCCTCTCTCCCTCCCTCTCTCTCTCTCCCCCTCCGCGTCACGCGCTCACCGCACGTACGTGTATTGGCCTAGGTAAGGATAGCAGATGTCGGCCTATGGGCGCGGTGCGCTCCCCACAAATGATGAGTAGAGCGCAGCGGGCGAAAAAACACATTAAGCCTCAGATTAAACGCGAAAACGGACGTTCGCAAAATCAATGAGTCGGCAAATTGCGGTGACACTCGTTGCCATTCGCATTGTTATTATAGATCTAATTTCATAACGGTTTCCACTCCGGCAGAATACAATATCATTACTGCGCCCGCTCCCAATATTGATGATGCAGGATTGTTTGGTGTTTAGCATAGTGCCAGGGGTTGCACACCCGTGGACACCACTGCCACTCCCCGGCTTTAACCTTTCTGCGCGACGAGGCTTTCCCCCGTGGCTTTCCCAAGTTTGGTCGCGCAAAGCACTAAGTCGCATGGGTGCCTAATACATCGGAAGGTAATTGGAAGGGCAGGGGGAGTGACGGGGGGCGGGGGGAAATAGGCCCGAAGGGGGGAGGGGGGGAAGTCAGAGGCGTAGTATTGACCTTTGACCTATTCTTCGGCACCCCCAGCCGGGCCACGCCTGGGTCCATTAAGACATTAAGCCATGACACGGCCGAGCTATACTGGGCGGGAGCAGGGGGGGTGCGCGGGCGGGAGTGGTGCACCGCACCCCCACCGCCACCAGGCACACTACTTCTTCCCCTCATCATCCGCGCGCAAACTTTTTCATGTTTGTTTCATCATTTCTCTTAGAGAAAATGATGCGCGAGAGAGAGTCCATCAGCGCAGCAGGGGTCGTGGCGGTGCTGACACAGAAGAGGGTGGAGGAGAGCTCGGCCGGCCACGCCACGCAAGTCGGCGGCAAGTATCGGCCCTTACACTAGTATGAAAGGAAAGGCGTAAAAATGGTTCGGGCGGCGCCTCAAGTTTCCCGTCGCCAGTGTCGCCGCCCGGCTGGCCGCTCGGTCTGTCCGGCTCTCAGTCGCAGGGCTCCGGCCGCAGCAGCAGCACTCGTAAACATTACATAACCCTCGTCGGAAAAGGAGATAGGATCGCCCCGGGTGGGAGGAGTGCACCGCGAGGGAAAGAGAGGGGGAGGAGGGGGGGGGGGGGGGGTGCGGAACCCCTGGTCTTGCATGGTCTTTCTAAACCCCCGAACAGGAACAGGTGGTTTTCGTCAATGGAAAAAAAACGAGCACTTCTAACACGACTTTCGACTTTAGTCACACGTGACACATTTTTATGAGCACAAATTTGGTCGAAATTTCTTTTTAAACGAGCAAACATGTGCTGGGGTTCCGAGCCTAAATACTGACAAAGAAAGTTAATTTTACGGAATATTTAACTTGGACTTGCTCAGTAAACTTCAACGCGGGGAACCGCGTCTTAGGTAGGTTCGTTTGAAAGTAAATTTTTCTGAGGAATCCGATGGTCCGACCAGAAATAAAATTAAAGAGCTCACTCAAAATGATCAATAAAAAACTGGTAAGTGGCCACAGAATGCATCATAGGTGTGACATGACACTTGTAGGTGTATGCTTAACAAGTCGATTGCTATGCAACAGTCGACTTGGGACGTCGAATTTTACCCGCAGCGTGCCTAACACGCACACACTTGCAGTCCTTAATTTGTTACGATCAGCACCTGCTGCTGTAAAAGCTAAAATATGCAGATTTCCACACACATGCGGTGTCTCTGGTCGCGTGTACAAATATTGCACACCGTGTGTAAGGGCCGAGACACTGGGGGTTTGCCTACTCGCTACACCCGTCCGGCGCAATGGCCCCTAGTCAGAAATCCGGAAACACTGTTGGGTCCTAGTACTGACACTCGGTACGACAACGGTGCGTTTTATGATGTGTCGTTTTTTGGATGCCCAAATATGGACCTCACTCTCCGCTGGAAACAAATAGCGTGGGTACACAATTACGACTGCGAGTGAGTGCTCGCGAGCAGCAAGTGTGTACTTAGTCGACAATCGCAGTGGCACGCCATGCATCAATGCATGAAGGCCTTGCGCACGCTTATTTTCTTTTATTCATGGAATGATGTGACTCTACAGAGGGGAAAGATGTCCAATGTCCAGTCTTTCCGAAACCCCAAAATAGGACTCCGACTATCTGGAAAAGCAACACGGTAAAAAGAATGTCTTGAAATCCGAGGGAATTTCTTGGATTTCAAGGTCGGGTGGATAATCTCAAGATTAGCCCTTGTAATCCCAGACTCTGTCTTGAAACCCGCAGCTTCCAAGGGAGAGCCTTGGAATTTTTAAGGGTTTTCCCTGAAGTATCCAAATCTTGCTTCTAGGAAAATCCTTGGAGGATACCAGATGAAAATTTCAAGGATTTCCCTTGGAAGCTGCGAGTTTCAAGACAGAGTCTGGGATTACAACGGCCAGTCTTGAAATTATCCACCCGACCTCGTAATCCAAGAAATTTTCCTCGGATTTCAAGACATTCTTTTTACCGTGAAAGGTAGGACTCAACGGGGTTGCAATGCCTTTACAAAGGCATTAAACATTAACACCCTACAAATAAAACTGTCCAATGGTGCGAATTATTTAACACCATTGGCCGCTCTAAAAATGATTTAAAAATTTAACACCTCTAGAAAGTCATTAATTTCTACCTTTGTTTTTCCAGTGCATGCAGCACCAAAACGTTCGTCACTCACAAATGCTGAACGTTTTTGTTATGCATGGATCTTTTTAGTTATGCAGTTGAGAACGGTGAACTTTTGATTATAGTTCTACACTTGTTAGGAACGAACGTTTTAGTTCTACAGTTGCAAATGCTATAATATACAGGTCGTTATGAACCCTTTTCCGTCGCGGTGTGAACCTCGTCGGGTTTAATCAGTCGGTGCGTGTAACCCGTGCGCAACCCCTCACGGGTCGCCTCCTGACGGGCCGACGGGGCGGAACAAGACCCCCGCAACTCATCTGCCCCGTCGGCCGAGCTACAGGCGCGGCCTTGAACCCTTGAGGAGGCGGGTGGGCTGCGGCAGCTTGTTGTGGCGGTAAAGAAAGTAAGTAAGGCATGGGGCCTCTGGCGAGCCGAGCCCAGCCGGGCCGAGCCCAGCCGAGCCGAGCCGGGGCAGGTCGCCCGCTTTTAGAAGCCTCCAAGGGCGGACTTCCGGCGTAGTGAGAGATGCGGTCAGGACAACGTCGCGTCGACGTGTTTTGATACCCAGCGCGTGCAGTATAATGCGGCTGTCATACCGATCATGGAGATGACTTTTAAAAAAGATGTGATGGGACTGGGGGCATGAACCCGCGACCATCGCCAACAATACAACCACCAAAAGAAAAAAAGGAGTGGCTTGAAAAAAAATTCGATAGTTGGCGGGGGATTTGAAGAAAATCAAGTTGTTTGTGCTGAGCAACGCCCTTCGTATGGGAAGTCATGGGAGTTGTTGACATGGACGAAATTTGGGACGCGCTGATTTATCAAGACGTTGCAATACGCGTTTTCAAAATTTACACATTGCGGACCTGACTATAATACATAAAAAGAAAAGAACACTTTTTGAGTGTCGCTTACTCACCGATGCGGCGGGGTGGGGGCCGTCTTTGGCGCGCCCCGCGATGCACAATGGGCAATATGAATGTGAATACACGCCGTCGAGCGAGCGAACTCCTAAGCGCCGCGCAATTTTCTATTTTCCCTTTTCTCCCCCTTCTCCTCTTTCCTTTTCTTCTTGCCTCCCGCAGTGTGCTTCTGGCAGGCGATGCGTCACACGGAGGCGCACGTCTCACACACACACTTTGTCACTGCCGCGGAGGGGGGCGCGCCGAGGACGCCGGGGATATGGCCCGCACCTCGCTGCCGATCGAGGACGCCGTCGAGCCCCTTCAGAGCCGCTGGCGGAGCGCCCGGTGCAGGGCGGCCTGCTCGACGCGCACCTCGCGGCCGCCGAACGTCAGGAAGAAGTAGACGCGGTGCGGGGGCAGCGGGTGCACGTCGTCGTGCTGCAGGCGCCGGCCCATGGACTGCTGCCGGACCGGCCCGGGCGGGGGGTTCACCGTCAGCATCGGGGACGCCGTCGAGGCGGGCCGGGCCATGTCGCGGGCGGGGGCGCGAGCGCGCACGGTAACGCTACACACGGGCGGGCTGTGCTGTGCTGAGCAGCCTCCCCGCACGGCGACCAGACGGCGTCTGAACTGGCCTGCCGCCGCGCGCAAAGCGACGCCACGCACCCCCCCTCCCCCCTTTCCCCCCACTTCTATCTCACTCGCACCGCCTCATCCGCTCACCTCTCTATCTCGCTCGCACGCTCCGTTTACCGCACAACACACACCTTTGCCTCGCATTTTTCTCTCACGCTCCTCGTGTCTCGTGTCGCGTAGCTCGGTGCGAGCAAATCATAATTACCTCCGAGCCTCCCCTTCCCCCCTCTCTTGTCCATTTCTACGACTCTAAAAAAAAGTCAAGGACTCAAACATCACACATTCATTGCTCTTGAATCTGCTGTTTTTATGGTGGGGCACACTGTAAAAAAACGGGCGTAGTTTTATCCGTCAAGTAGTGGGTAAATTTCACCCCGTGGCCTTGAAAACTATGTTGCCAATCAATGGACTGGGAAATCTTTACTCTCCACCCGCTCGGTAAAGTTATTTGCACAATAACTGGTAAAATTTACGTATGTTCAGAGAAAATTACTTTTTGAACTTTTTTTGGTAGTTTACATATCCACATGGCAATTTACATATCCACATGGTAAATTTACATTTCATATGATGTCGAAAATTGCTGGGTGCTTCGGGAGATGCCAGGTACACATCCAAATGGTAATTTTAGGAAGCACTGGATTGGTGTTTACATGCCATAGGATTCCTGACCCGCGGCAGACTATCGAATGCAAGAGCGAGTCGTGGGTCTTAGATGAAAGTCCGTGTCGCCCACCTGGTCACCGTTGAAAGCAAAGACAATCTATAGATGTAAGCAGACATCGTTCCTTTGAGAAGACATCATCTATCGGCGCGTCCCCTCCCAGAGGTAGCCGATGGGTGAGGGGTAGCGTGCGCGCTCCCGAGCTCGGAGGTTACGGGTTCTACTCCCATCAGGTCTAACAGCAGTTGAGAGGGGAACGCCAACAGGTTGGGAACCTGCATATCGTCATTTTTTTCTTCTTACTAACTGATCTACTTTTGCCCGTGCAAATTTACCATGTGGGTAGGGACATGCGGCCTTACCTATCCACAATTAAAATTACCACTTGGATACGCAAACGTCTAGAATTTATACAAATGGAAGATTACCATGTGGATACGCAAAACCTTTTCCCCGATCCATGTGCATGGAAATTTCCCATGCTATGGATAGCGAAATAAGTCAGTAATTGGACCGGGAAATTTACTCATTGCGGCCAGGGAAAGGGGCGTTTACTCATCCACCTGCGCAATTTTGACCTGAAAATTTCTTACAGTGCAATTCATTGGTTTTTGTGTATTTTTTCGCGTAAAGTACAAATAATCGTAATGGGCCCTCAGAATATGAACATTTTCCACTGCTGAAAAACAAAGAAGGGAAAAGATAGAAAAATTGTAGTCAAGTCTATGTAGAAAAGACATTGTAAAAGAGTTTTAAAGCGGCCAAAGACCAAAGACAACACTAGGAGGATCTGTAAAATTAGTTTTGGCGTGTAAAGCGCTGCCTGAGAGCGTGTGCTCGGCAGGCAGGAGGCCAAAGCGCCGCAGAGGATGGTGGGGGAGGGGACGGGGCGTATATTAGGAAGTAATTAAAATTATCGGCAAAAAGGACGAACAAGATATGCTTGTGCGAGTCAGTGGCGTGGAGGAGCCGGTAGGGTTGAAGGAAAGGCGGAGCTACCAACATCGGCATACGAAACAAACAAAAATATAGATTGTATAGCTGCAAAGGATTGGTACACTCTCAAAAACTTATTGTCCTGTGATTTATACTGTTTTTATTGTTTTTTCCCTCCCGCATACTTTTTTGCCCAATCCGCGTGAGGCCAGCCGTTCGCTCGGCAGACATTGAGTGATGTGATATTTGGAGGGAGATGGGATTGGGGAAAGGGAATGAAAAGGGGGGGGGGCGTTGGAGTGGCCATAGCGCCGAACTCGCCCTCACGGTCAAAATACCGCAAAAATAAAATTATTACAGGCGCGGATTAAGGTGAGGGGCGAGGGGGGGGGGCCCCCCCCCCCCCCCCTCTGTCGTCTCTAGACGGCCGCCTGAAATGTAGGCATTTTGTGGTACAAACCCCCTGTATGTAGGCAACCGACAGTGCATCGCCTCCCCTGTCAGCTGGACCTTAATCCGCGCCTGCATTATTGGTTGATGAGAACAAGGAAAAAAGATTAGTTGTCAGAGCCAATACATTGGCTAATTTGGTGCCAGCCAAGAAATTCGCTGTGACACCTAAGAATTAGTAGTCAGATACAAGAGTAGTTAGTTGCCACAGCCAACCCGTATTTTTGTAAATTCTTAGATTCAGTTCGATTTCGATTTCGTCTGTGCCTTCAAAATTTTCCTATCTGTGTTTAATAACATTTTCATTTGAACGAAGTAGACTACCTGGATAAATCCTTAACTTAGTGGTTTGCAATTTTCGAATCGATGAGAGCAAAGTGTTACTGAGAAAACGGAGAAATAGTAGTTCTTAATGTTCAAAATCCATAGCATGAAACACTCTGCAGTGCTGGGCCACGCGCCTAATTCGTCTTTCTACTCCGACTCAGTTTGACAAATTCCTGGCCAAAGCAATAAGGAGAGGGAAGACAAAACGAGAGAGACGGGAGAGAAATGGGAGAGGGAGGGGGGCGGAGAGAGAGAGAGAGAGAGAGAGAGAGAGAGAGAGAGAGAGAGAGAGAGAGAGAGAGAGAGCTCTACCTCCCGACCCGAGACCCGAGGCCGGGCGCCCGGGGCTCGGAGCTTTCTTAAAAGGAACATCAAAATGATAAGCTGAGGAGCCCGTGTACACAGTGCTGAAATTAGAAACGCCCACCCACACTCTCTGGAGATGAAACAGGACTCATGCGAGCGAAAGGGAAGGGTCACCGTCAACAGCTTAAAGTATTGCAGAGTAGAGACATCTTCTTTCTTGGTGGAGCCTCCCCTGCGCCGGTACAGCTTATGCGACGCACATTTCGCACTGAATTCTCTACCTCGACTCGACTGCCTTAACCGTTTCTCTCTCTCTCTCTCTCTCTCTCTCTCTCTCTCTCTCTCTCTCTCTCTGTGACTGGGTTGAGTTCAATAGCGCCATTGGCACGCACCTGGCCTTATTCACATACAACATCTGTCACCTGATTCCCCGCTCCCCTTCCCGTCTACCCATTTTCCCATTACATCGGCCTTCCCCCGTTCCCCCCAACACTTATCTTACCTCCTGACATTCCCACCAACCACAACAGCAGTTCGGAATTTGTCGGGAATGTGCTCTATACTCACGTGCGTAGGCCGATTGCTCCCCCCGCGTACTCGATATGACATAGCCGAGTACGGCGCGCGCTCAGCGAATTCAAATACGCTATTTAACAACGCCGAGGCCGAAAGGAGGGCGCAAGCCTGTCGCAGACCCTGGTCGTGGCCACAGTGTGGTCGCGTGAAAAATCCAACCCACGGTGTTGCGACCTTATCCTTTCTACACACTCAACCTGTATGCATTTCGCTGTTCATAAACACTTGAAAAGCAAATGTCTGAAATTTGCACATCCGACGATGCAGATTACGATTTTGCGCATTACAAGGTGTCTAAGTGATGTTGTTCACTTACGAAATGTGCAAATTTATGACGTTACGTAAACGTCTAAATTGTGCACACTTTGACATAGACAGGTCTGCATGCTATCAGTGGGAACCATATGGTGTGCAGCTGCTATACGTTTCTGAAACGTCTAATGCAGTTTGCACACTGACGTATAATCTAGCTCGACAGCCAAAACTTTGCATATTTAAACCTGTACATCCATTGATAAATTGACAAGGCAAAATTTACAAAATTATTACGATTGTTTGAATTTCCTGATCTTTTTTTTTCTTTCTTTTTTTTTTTGTTCTATGAAAACACCACTATAAAGTGAGGCAAGATTATGTTGAGAAATGTTAGTTGAATAACGGTGTCGGCTCAATTAGTATTATGTACAGTCAAAACAAGTGCTGGCATTCGCACGATTTTACATGTGAGGTGTGTGTGTGTGTGCGTGCGCAAGGGCGTCGTATGGCCCAGTACACAAGCCGGATTAGCCCATTCATACGCTATAACACACGACCAGACGCAATTCACGCAGTTTTTTTCTTTAAAAGAAAGCGCTGAAATGCCTACATTTGTACATACAGATGGGGGGACACTGGCAAACTGCAAGCAAGCAAAATTCTAAAGAAAAGAATCGCGTGCTTTTGGCAGAAGAGTGCAGGTTACAGTGCAATAAATATAAAAATAAATAAGGGAGGTAATTTTTCACATTTTACTACCACTTTTCTGCTTGGAAACCATGGGCAGTCACTTTTACCGTGAATAGAGTGAATGCCCTGACGACCGGAGAAGACTGTGTGCTGCGTGGGACACTGTGTCCTGCGATGAAATGTTAAATTCAGGATGGGGCTCAAAGCACTCTCTATAGAGCTTCTGGGAACCCTGGCTGAGCGCCCTTGTCCAAGCTGCCCGAGGCGGCGCTGACGCTACAGCGCGCCGCACCAGCGCTCACGGAGCGGCCCCGGAGTGGTACGACTTTTCAAAAGCCGATATTTCCTCCTCATCCAGAAAAGTTAAACGGGCATCGCATCGCTCTTTGCTTCCACAGCCCGCGGGTTCAAAGAGAAGTTGCACAATTACAGGAGTGGAAGGAAGAGACGCACTGGTAGGTGCAGGAGGGAGGGGGGGGGGGGAGTGGAGATACGAACGAGCGAAAAGGGCCGCCCGCAGAGCACACTGGCGACTGGATCCGGCTAGGAGTTGGTTGTTTCCAAGGTGGTTTATGAACGCCGCCTGAAGCACGGATGTTGGAATTGCAATACTGACTACGTACTGACTAACTGACGGCTGACTCGACTGCCGCAGTAACACAAAACTGTCGCAGATAGTGTAATTTTTTCCGAGTGTGTGGATTACCGATGATTATACCAGAGTGATTACCAAGTCTGTGTACACCTGATTACCACAGTGGGGCACACCTTGATTCAAACGTTGAGAGGTGAAGTAGAAACGTATATTTGATGTTCGAGTTGTTTGGTGGACGGTTGTCGATGATGTCGACGTGACGCCAACAAAAGGCCAACAACTTTGGCGCAAAGTACAGGACGCAGGACACCAAACTACGTATAAGGGGATAGTGTGCTGCGTTCCTGTGGTGGTAAGGGTCGGTGGACGATCGGGGGAGAGAGAGAGGGAGTGCAAGTCATACCGCACTATTAAGGAAGGAAAGCAGTCCTGGCGTGCCACCGCAGAGAGAGGAGGGGGCGGGATGGGGGGACGACATTTCTGCCTTCCAGCAAACACACACACACACAACAATAAAGTCAAAAACACACAGCACTGTATCCCCTCTTATTGTAGCGATACTGCCGTTGCCCGGCCGTACGCACAGCTACTAGGAGCGCCTGCGAGCTGATAATAGGCAACCCGCTCTTCACGTGCGTGCACTGGGACGGCGTATTGCCTACACCGTGCCCCTGAGAACCGACGATAGGCAACCCGCCCACCACGGACGCGCAAAGCCTCGGCGTGCTGCCTACCGCAGCCCCCAGGGACGCCTGTGAACTGGCGATAGGCAACCCGCCCACCACGCACGCACAAAGCCTCGGCGTGTTGCCTACCGCAGCCCCTAGGGACGCCTGCGAACTGGCGATAGGCAACCCGCCCACCACGCACGCACAAAGCCTCGGCGTGCTGCCTACAGGCCAACAGGCGATAGGTAAACCAACCCGCCACGCACGCGCACAGCCTCGGTGAGCTGCCGCCCGCGCGCCTGCGGTGGTATGCGCAGGCACCCCAAGGCTTCGAGACGAGCGCCGCCCGCCTGTCAACAACTTCAACAATGCCGGAGCATTCCACTTGTTCCTCGTGCTGTGGAGCACTGACCCCCACCACCCCCAGCCCCTCTCCCTAACTCCAGTCCACTGAGGAATCCGAACATTGCTATCCTCACCCGCTTTTCATGTAACCCATATTTTATCACAAAAAATAACTCGTTCGAGAAAATGTTTTTCGAATAATGCATTAAAAACAACTCTGCTGATCGAACTGTAGTTCATGATTTCATTATAACTGCAAGACTTTAAGAGTTCTGCACACTTCAAACTCCAATTTTCTAGTGTCCCCACTTTCTTCGTCTTCAATTTCTCTCTCAATCTAGCCTACACATGTAAAAGGGTCGCGATTTAGAACGCGCCTTAAAACATCAAGTCTAAAACAACGCTGCTATACTTTTTTTGCAGGGATGCAGGGCCGAGCTCCTGTCGCAGCCGCCGGGGCCGGCCGGCCGGGCAAGGCTGACGGCCTCGTTACCGCCGGGTCGTCCAGCCGCGGCACTGGAGAGGGGCCATCGGTCATGGGCCAGCGGGCCGCGGCGGGCGAGACACCGCCCCGGGCCCCCTCCAGCCCCTCCAGCCCCTCCAGCCCCTCTAGCACCCTGTCGCAGGCACGGACAGAACCTACCCGCCCGAAACCTGGGGCGGAGCAGGCTTCTCGCTCCAGCGATCGTAGGACGGACGGCCGGGAGGGTGGGGGAAGGGGGTTGACGGGGGTTTGCGATGCGTAGCGGACGCTCCAAAGAGGTTCACTCACGCGCTTTGACTCGACTGAAGCAAAAGTAGACCTGGTGGGCCGCCGCCGGGTCACCCGCACCACGCCGCAACGGCCGCCATACCGGTCACCCTGCCTGCGAGCGTTACGCGTCGAGTGGGTCGGATGAGAGGTCACGCGTGAGGAAGGCCACGAGGCCGCGTATGAGCGGATAATTTGAAGGAGAGATATACAAATAAAATAACAATAGATATGGGCCAAAGTCGCAAACCGTATCAGCCACACACGGGGAGCGCAAAAGCCATTATGTTACACTATTTAGCCGGCGTCAAGGTGTCGCCACCGCGATGCGAAACTTGTTTTTAATTTTTGTTCGGCGAGCAGTCACGATGTGGTGGGCGTCTGCGGGCAGCAGCAGAGCAGAGCAGCGGCCGCCGTGTGCGCGCGACCTTGTTTACTTCGTCCAGGACCTCATCGTCCCGGACGCCGCCCTCCGCGCGCCCTTGCGCGGCCGCCCGGCCGCCCGGCCTAGACACAGACGAGCCTTTCACTGCCGTATGGAAATGCTTTGGCGGGTTGGCTGCCGATCAGCCCCGGGCTCAACCTCAACCACACACGTGGCGAAGGAAGAGCTAGCCCGTGCCCTCCCCTTCTCCGCGGCCCTCTCACTTAAAAAGTGAAGTAGGCGGTCGGTCGTATGAGGTCACAAGGAGGAGAGCGATATATAGAGGCCCTACAGACTGCTCTGTAAGGGCAAAGACGATGTGTGCGGGGGAGTGTGTGGAGTGGACGGCGAGAGAGAGAGAGAGGTAGAGAGAGAGAGAGACGCAGCAGAGGCGCGCGATCTAAACCGGGGCGGCCAGGCGTGCGTGCGGCGTGGTGGGCGGCTCCGCCCGGCCCGGCGGAAGAAAGAGTCGCATCCCCTCGTGGGAAGCGTGTCGTCCGGCCGCTACCCTCTCCATCCCGGAGGAGTTCCTCTCATTGCAGCAGACGGGCAGCGGTCAGGGGGTGGGTGGAGGACGAGGACGATGGGAAGGCTGCTGGTGTCGACGTCGACCCTTTCGAGCCGCTTGGTCGCCGTCCTGGGAGAGCGCCGAGTCGGGCCGAGTCCCCAGAGGGGGGCCAGAGCCCCCCTACAGACCCCCATGAGTTATGTGCGGCTGCGGGCGACGTCGTTAAATATTTTGTCGTGAACGGCAAGACACGCGATAAAAATAGCCGCGATATAAAGTATCTCGGCCGGCCCCCCTCTCAGCCCCCCTCCTCCCCGTCCAGCAGCTTGGGGCAAAGCCATCGCCACGGCTTAGACAAGCCGGCCAGGGGACCCCAGGGGGGCCCACGCCGGCCACGGGCTAGCGGCCATCTCCATATAGATTACGCACTAAATGCGCGCCCGGTCCGAGGCCCCGCCACCGCCCCCGCGCCGCC